TTTTGGACAATAAAATGTGAGAATTTTGCTGATCCTAATGTTTGGATTCCATTTGTTCAGAAGATGAGAAACATTAAGCAAAGACTGATGGTTGGAGCCAATCAATTTAATCAGAATCCGAAGAAAGGATTAGATTTTCTTCAACAAACATATCTTTTACCTGATAAACTTGACCCCCAAAGCGTGGCATCTCTCTTTAGGTATACTTCTTGTTTGGATAAGACACTTATTGGAGATTTTCTAGGAAATCATGATGAATTTTGTATTCATGTGCTTCATGAGTTTGCTAGAACCTTTGATTTTGAAGGGATGAATCTAGATACAGCATTGCGCCTCTTCCTGGGAACTTTCCGGTTGCCTGGGGAATCACAAAAAATACAGAGGGTGCTGGAAGCATTTGCTGAAAGATACTATGAACAGTCCCCTGACATATTAGCCAACAAGGATGCTGCTCTTTTGCTCTCTTATTCACTTATCATGTTGAATACTGATCAACACAATGTGCAGGTTAAGAAAAAAATGACAAAAGAAGACTTTGTTCGCAATAATCGCCACATTAATGATGGAAAAGACCTTCCCAGGGAGTACCTTCTAGAGCTTTACGGCTCAATATGTGAGAATGAAATTCAGTTGATTCCTGAGCAAGTTGCTGGTTTTCCTCTGATGACAGCTGGGTGCTGGGTTAATGTAGTCCACAAATCTAAAATTGTCAACCCTTTTATCGTCTGTGATTCTGGAACCCTCCTTGACCATGATATGTTTGCCATTTTGTCTCGCCCAACAGTTGCTGCTCTCTCTGTAGTTTTTGATCAGTCAGACCAAGAAGAGGTTTTGCAGATGTGTATCAATGGATTCCTGGCTATTGCTAAAATTTCTGCTCATTATCATCTACTTGAACTGCTGGATGATCTCATCGTATCCCTCTGCAAGTTTACTGGCCTGTTAACACCATTATTCCTGGCAGATGAAGCTATTCTGGCCTTGGCAGAAGACACCAAATCAAGGATGGCGATCACTACAATTTTCACTGTGGCTAACAGATATGGTGATTACATACGCATGGGGTGGAAAATAATTTTTGAGTGTGTGCTAATCCTTCACCAACTTGACCTTCTACCAGCTGGACTTGCTAGTGATACAGCTGATGATTTAGAGCCATCTTCCGACTTGCAGCGGGTCAAATCTGCACCAAGTTCTTTGTCATCGCTCATCCCATCATCTGGAATCATACCTCGGAAATCATCGGGTTTCATGGGCCGGTTCACCCAGCTGTTATCTTTTGATATAGAGGAGCCCAAGTCTTTGCCAACCGAGGAGCAGCTTAGAGCTCATCGTCTCACTCGTGAAGCAATACAAAGTTGTCACATTGATATGATATTTTTAGAGAGCAAATTTCTCCAAGCAGAGTCTTTGCTCCATCTCGTGCAGTCAATTATCCTGGTAGCCAGTCGTCTCTCTAGGGAAGCCAGCTTCTCCATGGAAGATGAAGTGGGTCCTGTGTTCTGTTTGGACCTTTTAATTGCAATTACACTGAACAACAGAGACAGAATCATGCTTATCTGGCAAGTTGTATATGAACATATTGCAGCTATTGTTCAGTCAACCATAATGCCATGTACCCTTGTAGAGAAAGCTGTGTTTGGGCTGCTAAGGATATGCCAGCGGCTGTTACCCTACAAGGAAAACCTGACTGATGAGCTGCTGAAGTCTCTGCAGTTGATATTAAAACTTGATGCTCGAGTTGCCGATACTTATTGTGACAACATAACAAACGAGGTTAAGCGCATGGTGAAGTCGAGTGCAATCCATATCAGATCCCATCTTGGCTGGCGTACAATCATTTCCCTTCTATCTATTACCGCTAGACACCCTGAAGCATCCGAAGCAGGATTTGAGACGCTATCCTTTATAATGTCGGATGGTTCACACCTTTTGCCATGTAACTATATTCTCTGTGTTGATGCAGCAAGACAATTTGCCGAGTCCCGGCTGGGTGATGGTGCTCAAAGGTCAATCTCTGCCCTAGATATGATGATGGGATCTGTTGTCTCTCTGGCAAGATGGTCTTCTGAAGCCAAGAATGCAGCAGTAGGGGAGGAAGCCGCTGTGAAGTTAAGAGAGGATATTGGTGAGATGTGGCTGAGAATGGTGCAAGCAATCAGGAAACTGTGTTTGGACCAAAGGGACGAAGTGAGGAACCGCGCCATTCTAATGTTGCAAGGGTCAGTGGCAGGGGTAGACGGAATTAACCAATTCCCTATTGCCAAGTTGTTCCAGTTCTTTGATCTAGTGATCTTCACATTGCTCGATGAGTTACTGGAAATAGCATTGGAGAGCTTTCCTAAGGACTATAAGGAAATCGAGGTAACACTTGTGCTGGCCATGAAGGCAATGACAAAAGCATTTCTACAGCAGTTGCAGGATCTGTCGCAGCAGCCTTCCTTTTGTAGATTGTGGTTGGGTGTTCTAAATCGGATGGAGAGATATTTGAAGGCAAAGTTCAGAGGAAAGCGAAGTGAGAAGATTCATGAATTAGTACCAGAGCTTCTCAAGAACATCTTGTTGGTGATGAAGACGACTGGTGTTCTCTTGCCTAATAGTGATGATATTGCTGGGGATAGCTTTTGGCAGCTGACATGGTTGCATGTAAAGAATGTGTGCCCTTCACTACATTCAGAATTATATCCTGATGACGAAATGGAAGCAAATCAGAAAGTTTCCGAGGGGGTTCCAGCAGGAGATCAGGCTGTCATTGTTCAATCAACTGCATCCCTAACATGAAGCCTAAACTCTTTTGGGAGTTCTGCTGCACAGATTCAAACAGTCACTGCAATGTAGTAATTTGTTGATTTCAAAACCTTTGAAGTAATGTTTCTGAATCCTGAGGTTCCCCTTGATTGCTAGATGTTCATACCTGTGAAGAAATATAAAATGCCTGAAATTCATTCATGATAGCTTTTTTTTTCTCTTCTTTCTAATAGAGGGTCTCAACCTGTCTAGTACCTTCAATTTTCCGGATTCCTTTTACTCTCCTAACTTAGTATACTTGGCTCCTGTTTCTGTACTCTTTACTTTCTAGGAGCTTAATTTTTTCCTTGGATCATTATAAAAACACAAGAGGCTGTGAAGCTAGTCTTCTGTTTGTTGTCCGCTCATACTTTACATTCTGAGGTTTATACCAGATGCTTCGTTAGTATTTACGGGGTGAAGTATACCAGCTAGAGGGTTCTCTGTTCATGATTTGCAAGCTAATAATGTGTAAATAAATGATAAAACTAGATGAAAGAAATGCAGGAAATTGTTCATGGTTTCCGTTTTTCCTTGTTCATGGTGTAAATTTTGCATCTGATTGTGTAAGGTTTGCAGTTTTGTGGCCCCGGATTAGTTTGTCCGAGAAAAGAAATCTGAGTCTGGAGCGGCAGTTTGTGTGAAGAAATAATACTCTTGGGCGGGATGCTTGCTTGTCGAAGGAATCAGAGGTTTGTTTGTTCCTCCCTTGTTTAAGCAGGAATTAGAGGTTTGTGTGTTTCTCCTCTTCTGTTGAGACTTTAAGCAGACGATCTGATACTGGAAATACTAATTAGAGTAACACAATGGCGTGCTAATTGTATAGTTATTCTGGTGTTGCTGTCATAGATAGGGTGTAGCATTTAGGGATGTTGGGACTAGGATGGAAGAAGGGTTGTAGCGGCGAAGGTACTAGCTAGGTTATGAAGTTGACAGGGGCTGGGAGGTTAGCAGTGTTGCTTTGCATCATACTTGGTTTGGTCAGCTAATTCAGTTTATTTGGTGAGGAAGCCACAGAAAGCAGTCAATCGGTCTTTTCCTCTGCTGCCCGTAGGTGTCCTCTATTTGGCTGTAAGAAGTTTTTTTGGAGGGGCTGGATATTTGAAAAGTGTAAGCAGCTGGGGTGCTCAAATGCTGTTTTACCAAGAGACAGTAGGTGCCTACTTTTATGTATTTTGATTCTCTCCACTCATCAAGACCAACAAAAAAGAGCCACGCCAAAGCCCATATCGTCGACAAATCGGGTTCCGTAGGGGCCGGATAATGTTCTGTGAGACATCAAACATTTGTTTTGAAGATTGTGATGGTACGCAACGGAGGGTTGGGATCGTGTAATGATAAATATCATTGTTATAAGAACCGAATCGGATCAACGTCCGGACTAATAAAATCGTTAAACCAGTTATGATAATGGTCCAGTTCATTGCTTGGACGGTTATTGATGGACCAAACTGTTTTTACAGTTCAACATAAAATCATATAAGACATTATGGTTTAACTGGTTCACTTGTTTACTATTTTAACAAAAAAACACTTTAATATAAACTAATATCAATATACCGTAATTATTAATTTTTTATATGCTTCCTCTTCTCATTCCAACCTTGTTGTCAACTTTACGTTGTCCACTATTGACTGGCATCGTAATTTTTAATTTGAATTAAAAAATATGATTTCTTTTGTGAGATGATTTGAATGATTTATTAGATATTTTGGTGATATGAATTTGAAATTATTTATGGTCAATGATAATTTCATTCTTAAATTAGTGTAGTATATACAGGCCCGGCCCAGACCCTGTGCTGGCCTGACCCACAACACAAGGCCTTAAGAATATTGGGGCCTCAGCCCTACCCAGCCCATACAATTATATATGTATATAAAAAAAAGGGTTAAAGACACATTTGGTCACTGAGATTACAAAATCGGGACATGTTTAGTCACTAGAAAAAGTTAATATCAAATTTGGTCACTACAATTACTAAAACTGGACGCATTTAGTCACTCGCCGTTAGTCTCCGTCCAACTCCGTTAATGAAGTCCGTTAAGTGCTGATGTGGCAAACAGAATTGCCTAATCAGTCGGATATGACCCAACAAAAATAAAACCCGACCCGCCACGTCATTATAACCAACCCAACCCATGACCCAACCCTTCTTCCTCCTTACTCCCACCCCGGCACCTCCCACGACGTCGAATAAATCCTCTTCGTAATGACCGAACCGAGCTCCCCCTGTTTGTATTTGCAGCGACGGACAGCGGCAGATCATGCTCGCCGACGGCGGAGGCAGGGAGGAGAATCGCCCGAACCAATCGAAAATTGCAAGGATATTCCGGTGGATACTTTCGTGCTTCGCTCGTCGCTGTTTCCATGGGGCAGGCCACCGCCGCGAAGCGAAATTGAATTTTTCGCTCAGTTCCGAACGCCGCCGCCGCCTCTTCCGTTGCCAGCTCCTCCCCCTCCATCTTCCAATCTGCGAGAGAATCAATACGAGGAGGAGGAATTGGGTGGTGGAAGCGAAATTGAATTAATTGAAACCCTAACTCAGTTCCCGTCGCCACCGCAATCATCAATCCCCTTTTCAAATCGATGGTCCAAGACAAAGATCCAGATGCCCGCGCCACCGTCTCCTCCGCCGCCGCCGTCCCTGAATTCATCGTTCTCCCCTTTGAAGAGGTTGTTGTCCAAGAGAAAGATCCAAGTGCCGGCGCCACCGCCTCCTCCGCCGCCGCCGCCTCTGCATTTGTCATTCGCCTCTTCAAAGAGGTTGTCCAAGAGGAAGATCCCAGTGCCAGCGCCACCGCCTCCTCCTCCGTCCTCCGGCCGTTTCCTCGGAGTTGTTCCTCGCCGAGAGAATCGAGATGAGGAGGAGGAGAAGGGCGGAAGAAGAGAGGAAGTTTTGACAATCAAATCTCTGCCGCCACCGCCACCTCCTCCTCCGCCATCAGTCTCCCATTCGCCATTCAGGAAAGCAACCAAAAGCAAGGGAATCCACTCATTTCCACCGCCGCCGCCGCCGCCGCCGCCGCCGCCGCCGCTGTCGCCAATGCGTCCTCGGCGGTCGTCACTAAAACCACTTAACTTTTCAAAGATTGGGTCCGACAGAAAAATCCAACTGCCCGCGCCATCGTCGCCGCTGTCGGGTCCTCCGTCGGCGCCGCAAAGAGTGGTAGATCCACACAGGAGGAGGCCGGTCGAGCGTCCGCCGTCGGAGGAGATAGTAGGTGACAACGGTGGCCAGCCACCATTAAACACAATGCCTCCACCACCGCCTTTGCCGTCGTCACCAAGAATGGACGGCGAGGAAATGGGGAGCGGGCACGAGAGTGAAGGTGGGAGGAAGGAGGAAGAAGGGTTGGGTGGGGTTGGGTGATGGGTTGGGTTGGGTTGGTTTTAATGACGTGGCGGGTTATAATGATGTGGCGGGTCGGGTTTTATTTTTGTTGGGTTATATCCGGCTGATTAGGCAATTCTGTTTGCCACATCAGCACTTAACGGACTTCATTAACGGAGTTGGACAGAGACTAACGGCGAGTGACTAAATGCGTCCAGTTTTAGTAATTGTAGTGAACAAATTTGATATTAACTTTTTCTAGTGACTAAACATGTCCTGATTTTGTAATCTCAGTGACCAAATGTGTCTTTAACCCTAAAAAAAATGGGAAAAGGAACTCTTCCTCCTCTTCCAGCGCCAGCGGCTTCTCAACTGTCCTTCCCTTTCCCAAAATCATTCCGCAGACATCGTAATCAATTCCACAACTCCCCAAAACCTTCCCAAAACAAATTAATGTACAACTAATTAACTCTTCAATCTTCCTCTAATGACTATTAACGTTCAGCAATCAACAATCCAACATTCACAATCCAACGTTCGATTCTCCTAATCAGTAATCAACGTTCACTATTCAGGTCAATCCCCTCCTTAAATAGGCGGGCAAGTAAAGAAAGGAGAAGCAACCGAAAAACAAACCCTCTCCCATCTTCTGATTTCAATTCTCCCCTGATTGGCAGATTCCCTTCCAAATCTCCATTTTCCAGAGTTCAGACCCACAGAAGGCAAGAAGCAGCACGGCAACACAGCCCGCCGCCGGGAGCCGCCCCTGTTGCCGACTTTCTTGTCTGTGTCGGCGTCGCTGTGCACGGCTCTCCGCTGTCTCCGTCTCTCCGGTCCGCCGCTTCGCAACTCGTAAGTTCTCCTATCCTCTCTCTCAGTTCAGCGTCTCTCTCATCAATTAATCTTCGTTACTTTTAAGTTTGGGATAGAGGATTGGAGGCCGAACTGGGAAACCCTTATTTGGGCCTTAATGGCCATAGCCCATTTCCATTTGAAGGGTGAAGGCTGCCATATTTTGTGAAGTAAAAATATTGGGGCCACGTTTTTATTTTTCGAACAGGGCCTCCGAATATAATGGGACGACCCTGAGTATACAAGTCTCATATGTTATATTACTTTATATATCATGAACGGTTCTATCAATGGTTCATCAACGGTTTTGTACTTGTTAACCACTTAACTCTAAACTGCTAACTTTTCTGGTTTAGCCTCTAGTCCGGTTATGAAAATAGAGCTAAATGTAGTTAAAAAAATGACGAAAGTTCTAAGCAACCCGGCTCCACCTTTTTGTCATCATAGACGCACCGGATGGAGGCAGTGGACTGTTCCTTAGACCTCACTGCCCCTTTTTGTCACGTTATATAGTATCATGTAAAAAAAACTCGGTTAATTTGAAGTCTAGATAGTGTTTTCTTATTTAGGATGTGTTGTATCATAGATTTTATTCAAGGTACAATAGAAACCACCATATATATAGTTCAGGCTAGTGTACACTTACTTTATCACATGCCCGTCGATTTTTGTTATTTAGTTCTTGAATTAATCGAAGTTCGGAGAATGATACTATACCCTAACCTCTAATGGGTGAACCCCAGTCCTCAATTCTTATAATCCAAACCATAAGATTCATTTAATATAGAAATAAAAATCAACGGTTCTGATTCGTCAAAATTGTCAAAGTACAAACTATCTCGTTTTTCAATCGATCCATCCAAATGCTCTCTCAATATTTTCTTTTTTAAAAATCTCACATTAAACAATAGTAGAGTTTGTACATGTTGTCTCCATTTTGAATTTCCTAGCACCATAATACTTTTCTAAAGACTACTTGGGTAAATTTACTACAACCATCATATTCTTCGAGAAAGAATATTTTTCTTCTTGTATTACTTATAACTTCTATTTTCAATTTATTAGAACTAAGGTTCCCATTAAAATGTACTACATTCTCTTATTGAAAATTCTTCTACCATTTGCTTTTGTGATTTGAAGCTTTAACGGAAACCCTAGCGTCGCCGCGTTCTCTATGGACTCGACCACACCGGGGAGGCTCCCCGGCAGCAAGACCCCCTGACCAGAACGCAGGGATTCGCAGACCAGCCTCTGCGTCATCTTCGCCGAATGGAAAGGGAGCCAGCGAAACTCAACAGCCAAAGAAGCGGGCGAAACCTATGTCAAAGAACCTGCTGTTTGAAACGGAACCAATGCACGAAGACACAACATCTCCTTACATCCATGAAGAGGAGGGCACTGACCGTACGAGGGAATTTTCATGGACCAAAGGAACTAGAAAACTCTTCAATGATTTGCATAGCCATGATGAGTGGTACGTAACGGAGTCCGATTCGGAAGATGTTGCAGCTGCCATGCGAGAAGATGACTTGGATGATGTGGTTCCCGAAGATGATAACCCTCGCTGCCCTACCATCCCTTTCAAAGCAATGAAAAAGAAACGATGGCGACGTGATGGAGATATGCGCTCATAGTTAAGGTGCTGGGACGCACCTTCTCCTTCCCGGTGATCGCACGCCGCCTCCAAAGTATTTGAGGAAAATGCGGTACGCTACAAATATCAAGCTTGACATATGGATTCTATGTTGTCAGATTCATAAGCCAATTCGATTACGAGCAAGCAACGATAGGAGGGCCGTGGCGGGTTGGTGATTACTACCTCACCGTCAGGCCGTGGAGGAAGAACTTCAACCCCAAACTGGTGGAGGTGGCATCAACGATGGTTTGGGCGAAGCTGCCCGGTCTCCCCCGGGAGTTCATCAACAGGAAGGCCGTGGAACGTATTGCCTCTTATATTGGTCGGCCTATCAAAGTTGATCGAGCTACACAGAACGGGGATCATGGGCAGTATGCCCGTGTTTGTGTCGAGGTGGATCTAACTAAACCCCTCCTTTCACAGTACAAGATTGAAGGAATCACTTATTATATTGAGTTTGAGGGACTTTTCAACATCTGTATGGAATGTGGCCGGTACGGACATTCCAAAGTCAGATGCCCCTCATTACCTCGACCGACCTCGGAACCCACTGGTTCACCAACGACTCCGCAATCGGAGGCTGCCCTCACCAACTTACGGTGAGTGGATGATGGCCAAACCGAGGCGCAGAAATAGTAAAGGACAGGCAAATACGGAAAAGAACGGCCACAGGAAGACTGGCGGCAGTGGTTCACAGTTCCAGGCGCTAACGGAAGAGAAAGAGGATAAAGAACCCCATCATGCTGAATATATGGAAGCCCCGATAGTAAATGAGGTCGAGATGACAACGAAGGCTCAGGCCACTCCTATAGAGGCGCCGAATGATCCTCTCAATGTTACCAGCTCTCCTATGGAGACCTCGGCTCAGCAGGAAGCAGAGATGGCTGGCGAGGAGGGGTCTATTCCGACTACCACCACCCATGCAATTCCTGCGGTGAAGCATGGAGAACCCACTCCCGCGAAATCCATTTCGATACAGGCAAGCTAGAACTCCAAGGAATCTCTAAGTGTCCCCAGACAGGCAGAGACGACTTTACAGAACACACCTCCCCTTAAAACTCACATGGACTCTCGGTCTAAGCAAGAACCAGCCCACCAAGCTACCACCCTAGCTAGAAAGGGCAAAGGTGGTCAATCTGCAATCAACACCGGGCAGCTCCCTTGGACCCACGACCCAAGAGCATTGAATGCCAGTACAAAGTGTGTCAACACGGTGAATACGGGGAGGAACGACACTAACCCATCCTCCGGCGTCATTGATCGCTCTTAGTCGGGTTCTCTTCTCTCGCACCTCTTTTTTGTTGACGATCTCATTTTATTTGCAGAGGCAACAATACAACAAGGTAGGGCCGTCCTTGACTGTTTGGATAGATTTTGCCTTGCATCAGGAGAAATGGTGAGCAAAGAAAAGTCCGTAGTATGTTTCTCTGGTAACACAGACCGCACCACTCAAGGTGATATCATCCGCACCCTTGAAATCTTGGCCACACAAGACTTAGGACGTTATCTGGGTGTGCCGGTGCTTCACGGTCAAGTCACTAGAGAGATATACAAATATATCTTGGACAGGCTTGACAAGAAGTTAGCAGGCTGGAGGGAGGAGGCCTTATCATTTGATGGGAGGGTCACACTGGCAATGTCATTCCTCAACACTTTGCCTACGTATGCCATGCAAACCACTCTCTTACCTATTTCAATCTGTGATGAAATCGACAAAAGAATCCAGTGTTTCATCTGAGGCTCGACCGCAAACAAGAGAAGGGTGCACCTGGTACATTGGGATCAAGTTTGTCAACCGAAAGAGAAGGGAGGTTTGGGTCTTAAGAAAGCTCATGAATTAAATCTCTCCTACCTTGCAAAGTTAGCGTGGTGTTTTCTTAAAAATCCAAATGATTTGTGGGTCAAGGTTTTACAGGCTAAATATTTCAAGCTAGCTAGTGGTGTGTTGACAGCCAAATCGGCGACCCGTTGTTCGACATTATGGCGGGGCATGAGGAGAGCCTGGCCAATAATGCAAGAAGGCATGGCTATGTGCGTGAAGGATGGCCGAAGTACTTCTTTCTGGACTGACCGATGGCTTGACCCGGCTTTGCTGCTCATTGACCATATCCGCGATGACAACCAGCTCATTGATCCCACGATCCCAGTCACGGCAGTCCTCGAAGAGAGTGGTAAGTGGAATGAGAATCTCCTCCTCTCCCTCTTACCGCGTGAACTTGCTTTGCATGTGCTGGCCATCTCGGCGCCGAGGGATGATGCAGGTGAAGAAGAAGCTTTTTGGGGTCCTGAAGCGAACAGACAGTTTCGTGTCAAGTCGCCGTACGAGATTGCCATTGGCCAGGCCGGCATGGGACAAATGCTGGACTGTAAAAAGATTTGGCACTGAAAGGGGCCAGCAAGGATGACGCACTTCCTCTGGCTAGCAGCAAGGGGAAGGCTGCTTATCAACGACTAGAGACATCGGCGGCATATATCCACCACCCGAAGATGCACGCACTGCAATGCTGCCATTGAAACGACCCTGCATGTGTTGCGGGAATGTTATTCCCCCGGTCTATTTGGATGCATGTCATCCAGCTTTCTAATCACCAAGCATTCTTCAGTCTGCCCCTACAGGATTGGATACTTCGTTATCTCCACCACTCTGATTACAGTCTAAGTTTCGGCCTCATTTGTTGGGCTCTTTGGAAGACAAGGAATGAGAGAGTCTTCGACAACAAACCACCACTTCTGAGATGTTTCTACAGCCAATCTGAGCTTAGATTAATGTCGTGCGGACAACTCTGGAGAAGGATAGGCTCGTTTATACGCTTATCCTGCCCACAAGAACGGAGGTCGAGATCTCATGGAAACCTCTGCCTCCCGAGTGGGTCACTCTCAACTCATATGGTTAAGTTATTCAGGATACCGGTCGCGCTGCTGCTGGTGGCCTGATTTGAGATCACAATGGGCGCTGCTTGGCGGCGTTCGCTTGTAACTTGAGTTATTGCTCCATTACGCAGGCCGAGTTGAGAGGAGCTGTAGAAGGTCTTCAGTTGGCTTGGAACCTTGGATGTCGTCGTGTTCGTGTTGAGCTAGACTCGAGTTGTACTATCCAGCTGCTTGAGAGCAGGAGCACGGACACCCATCATCATACGACCGTTGTGGCCCGTTATCAGGAACTTATGCGCCAAGGTTGGGAAGTTACCACCTCCCATATTTATCGTGAAACCAACAAATGTGCTGATTACTTAGCTAGCCATGGGCATTCGTTGTCGCCGGGTGTACATGTCATGACTCGTTCGGTTCCTCTTTTGTATAACTTTCTCATGTATGACTCTCAGGGGCTCTCTGAACCTCGTTTGGTTTTGAATGAAAGCTAGGATACATTTGTATCCATTTACCACCCAAAAAAAATTCTTCTACCATTTTGGTGACAACCTCAATATTTGTTGAAGCATTCAAAGGTGCACTACCACTTAATTTCTGTATTTTCTTCTTATGTATGTCATTTCAGATGGACGCATAATACAAGTTGTGAATCATATGCTAAATAACCATATCAAGGGGAGCATCGAGTGTCTTGGATTAGCAACACCAAAACTTGCCAATGATTATGCATCTTCACTAGAAAAACTCCATAAATGTCCAAAGTAGTGGCTAAGTCAACTAACAATTATAATTGATTGAGGGTAGACTCCATATCAAGGATCGGGGATGGATGTACATTGTGCTACATAACAACTTTGAGGTCTTGATGACTTAAGTCGCAATCTCAAAAAAAATTTGTTTATTGAGACACCTCCATAGACAACTTAAAGCAAGATTTTCGAGCTTGAATCATCATTAGTTGTATGCTAGCTATTGGAAATTGCAACATAAACATATGATTAGTTTGGCAAAGAGTTAACATTTCTAGATCAAAGGTAAGGACTTTAATTGTTTTTATATAGAAATATGTACTATCAACATTAGCGACTGCATTATGTTATGGTTGATAAATTAACCTATAATATGTCAATAGGTCGTGACATTTCATGTTTGAATCGAGAGTCAAAACTATTTCTCGAAGAATGAATTATAATAACATAAAAAACTAAAACATCCAAAATATATTAACTATTATGACAAATTAGTTAAACAAATTATAAAAGAAACTAATCCGCGTCTAATTTATGCACGAGAACCTCTCCTGAACTTGGGGAGCGAATTCCATCAGTAACTTTTTGGTGCACAACTAGAAGTGGCAATTAGGATCCAAATCCATGAATCTAATTCAATCCAATCCATCTACCTAATCCAATCAATTTGGTCCAAATCCAATTGGATTGGTGGATTAATGGATCAATCCATGAATCTAAATGGCAAATTATGATTTGGTACCTATATATTTTTTATATTTTACATTTTGGTACCTAAAATTTATATTTTTATACAAAAATATCATTGGAAAATTACATTTTGGTACCTAATTTTTTTATTATGACATTTTAGTACCTAAACTTTTTAAAATTTACATTTTGGTCTAAACTTTGGATGTCATTTGGATTTATGGATTAATCCACCATTCCATTTGATCCAATCCATTTAATCCATGGATCTATCAATCCAATTCACCAACCCATGAATCCAATCCATTTGTCACCTCTACCCACAACCATGCACAACTTACCACATTAGCGCCACCTCATCATTTATGGAAGACTTTAATCTTTTTCCCTTTAAATTTTAAACAACTATATCTCTTTTGATTTAAGTCAAAATTTAATTTTTTTTCATAGATAAATTAGATTAACTGTGATCTTCAAAATGATATCCACTTTGATATATGTTTGGAATAAATTTTTTTGAGACATTTAGTACCAGTCTATACCATGATGATATTGTTTGGTATATCATAAGAGCATACCACGTGGTATGGAAGTGTATCATGGTGATATGAACATATCAGATTGTAGAATGGTTGAATACATAATAGTAGGAATATAGTAATTGTCATTTACCACTCTCAACATTGTGTACTACAAGAATACTATCCCTTTACCATGATGGTATGAGATCGCATTTTTGGTCCTATATTTTTTCTCTAAAAATTTATAGATCCAATAGATCACGATGAACTCATTCCTTCTGTGTAATATTTTTCAAAATCAACTTAATAACGATGAAGATAGCATATGGTACGGAACTGGTAACGAGCATTGTGAAATTATTTTTCTAGAAATATATTGAAAATAGATCTCATTTTGTAGAGCACAACGAACTCATTTCATCAGTGAAAAAAATTGAAATCCAAATTAGAAAAAAAATATAGAGCCAATTAAAAAAAACGGGAAAATAAAAAGTCTTTAATTGTCAACTCTTAGATATGGAGCCCACTGAAAATGAAGGGTTCGGATTTAGTTATACAAAGTTATGCACCATAGGGTTACTCACCTTATCTACAGCCTCGAACTTGACCATCCCACAGTTCGACACATATTGAGAAATGTATTTTATGAGGAATTATGTTTTATGGAGTAGAGAAAACCCTGAGGCGGATTTTCAGCCTCACTTCGATCTCACCCTCTGAAATTGAAGATCGGCGGAAAAGCTAAGATAAACGAGACGAAGCTCAAGATTGGGGTGAAGGAGCAACAACAAACCTATTGTCCTCTTTTTAGCGGTTTAGTATTTATATTAGGTTTCAACGGCTAATACACAGTAATAACCGTTGTATGAAATCCATTAACCAAAACTCGACAGGTGGCTGTTTGGATTCATTATTGACTAACAAATCGCACATAGCAGATTAAAGGAATAAATGAATGAACTGGTAGCGTAGCAATAAAAACTATTTCAATTCGACACTTTCATTCTCTTCCACTTTAGTCCGTCCTGCTCATGTTGATGAATGGATTGAATCCTTGACTAATCAAGATTGCAATGAATGATTGTTGTTGCTGCTGTTCTTCTGCTATCAGCTCCTTGCTTATCATCCACTAGGCCCCACAAGATGGCGAGTATACATCAATTACTCCCATATTGCCAAGAAGTTCCAGCAGCCTATACTTACTCACTTAGTGATAATATCAGCCAACTTATCAAAAGTGCGTAGTTTACTCAATCTGATCATACCAGTCTTAACTCTCTTTAGTCACATGCATATCAGTCTCGATCTGCTTTGTTATCTCATGAAAGACAGGATTTTCATCAATATGGATTGCTGACCTGTTGTCACAATAGATTGTGATTGGTGTCTTGACCTGAGCACTTAAGTCTGACAACAGTCCTTTGAGCCACTGTATCTCACACATCAAATGAGCTAGAGCTCGATACTCTGCCTAAGAAGAGGATCTCGAGACAGTTGTCCGCTTCTTGCTCTTCCTGTGAGTAATGAATTCCTAAACTAGGTATGAAACCCTGTAATAGACCTCCTGGTATATGGACATGCTGCCCAGTCTGAATCAATGTAACCAGTGATGGTAAACTATGTATTGCAGCTAAACAAGATTCCTTGGCCTGGTGATTTCTTCAAGTATCTAAGCATTCTTTGTGCTGCCTACATGTGAGTATCAAGGGGAATACCCTGGAATTGACTTAACTACTGAACCGTGAAATAGATGTCTGGTCTAGTAATTGTTAAGTAGTGTAGACTTGCAATTAACCTTTTGTAACACTTATAATCATCAAGTGGAATCCCTTCTCTTTAACTCAATCTCACTTTCATGTCAATAGAAGCATGTGTCTCATTCGCATCTTCATAACTAGTATCCTCCAGCAATTTTGTACAATATTTCTGTTGGTTAACAACAATACCATAAGCATTTCTCACAATTTCCAAACCTAGGAAATATTTCAGAACTCCAAGGTCCTTGATCTTGAAACTTCTCTTCAGATATAGCTTCACAAGCTCCCGATCATCAATAAGAGTTTTCATGTAGTACTCTGTACAAAATTTGTACACTATTGTAGTTTGATTTGTTTGTTCTTTTTCACGTGACATTGAATTTAAGGCGTGTGAACAATTTCTATAAACTATTTTTTGATAGACAGTTGTCTTATATACAAATACCATTCAATTGGTACAAGTACCATTCTAGTTGTACGAGTGCAATGATTTTTTTTTCCAGCAATGGAAATTGTTGTTTACTATAAATTTTCATGGTGGAACAAGTACCACAAAGATTGTACTCCAATCTCCCTACATCATTAGTACAAAGTAACAGCCTTCAAACTTAGCTTACCGATTCGTGGAGTGAGAGCGGAAGAGTGAGAGCGTCTATTTTTCGAGAATTGTATTTCGAGAGCGTCGAAAGACCGTTTATATTATATGGTTTCAATTAGATATTGTGTAATCTATTAATGGATGAATAAAAAAATTATGATTGGTACTTATAAATCCCTGTCTACATAGTAACCTACTCATTAAAGTAATCCCCCTATAGTAAGAGTGTGTGTTTTCAATTTTATTTGGCTTAAATTGAATTGTGTGAAAATGTGCTTTGATTTCAATAGTGGTTTAATCACCCTATAGTAAGAGTGTGGGTTTTCAATTTTATTTGGCTTAAATTGAATTGTGTGAAAATGAGTTTTGATTTCAATAGTGGGCTTAATGTATGTTTGAGCCCACAAGATATAAATCGACAGACAAATTTTTGTTATCTCATCCACACGTTCCCTTCTTCCTCTTTATCTCTTCTTATTTCCTCTCTCTAAAATCCCTTCTGCTCTCTATCTTCTTCTTCCCCTTTATCCCCAGAATTTTGAGTTTCCAACACAGAAAATTCCAAGTAAATCTATAAAATCGCATATGACTGACCACTTATCGAGCCTTCTCCCGTCAATCGTCTCTTACCTAGCCACGAGCCTTGTGATTTGGTGAATTTCATGGTGAATCGCCGGCAAGAAGAAGCTTCTTCAGCAGCTCGTTCAGATCTTCAAAACCGAAGAGGTCTTAAGCCACTGTTGATCTCTCTCCACTCTGAAAATTAATGGAACATCTTTTGTTGCATAAAATGACTTCTTTCCGTATCTACCTTACACATCTCTATCGCACTTTTCTTCGATGAAGGAAGAGTTAGCCGTTTTGTGGCCGTAGCTGATACTTTGGTCCTGAATTGTTTCGTATACGGTGTCTTACCCAAGAAGGTCGAAGTTTGATGGCCATCAATGCTTTTCTTTTAGTGGATTCAAGCAAGTGTTTTGGTTGAAAAAGTTCAAAATTTCTGAAGCGAAATGAGAGCGCGTATTTTACAGAATAATTCGCACTCCGGAAACTGAAAAATCGCGAATTTGGAACGAATTTTTTGCAAAGCTTGATTTTGCGCTCCAAAGCGGGAATGCGGGCTCAAAGCCTACGAATTATGTGACCTAACTTCAAACGCAACCAAATTAATGGTATTTTCAAATAGTAGTGTTTGCTAGTTATTACTACCAAACACTACCACTCGACTGCCTTAATAGTACCACTAGGTAATTCGTACCAGTCGGTTACTACCTCTAGGAATGAACTATCACTACCAAAATATTACCACTACGTAACCTGTACCACTCGGTTACTACCACTAGATATGCATGTTACTACCACTAGACATGTACTATCACTACCAATAACACGCCACCCCCGAGTTGTAGCATCGCGTGTACCACTCGAAAAACACTACCAATCCATTGGAAGTCGTAACGTCGACGAGATTCTCAGTGTCATTGTCGTCGTCTTCAAGCTGCTCAACATTCACGGGCACGAAATCAACGTCGTTTTTATATGGTTCATGTTGATGGCCCCGTCTCTGTTGTCCGTATTTTCGTTGTTCACGAGATCGTCTTTGATGTCAAGCCCCTCCACGTCATCAACGACGATGTCCTTCGCCATTTGTTCCACCCTGCAAACATCATCGCCATTATCCATCTGTTCAGCTCTCACCTCAGATATGTTTTCGTCGTTGCTAGTGTCGGCAACGTTCTGGTCAAAGCCGAAGAAACAAGGGATTATAAATTCGTCGTTGCTCATGTAGTCGTCCATGATTCACCGGCCGCTGCATGAAGGTTTTTCCGGGTGTCTGGAGCCACAATCAAGGCGAGGGTTTTGTTGATGAGGCAGCAGTAGCCAGTAATGGGAAGGCCAAGCAACACTTATACCTAGTAGTAATCACGCTAAGAACCTTTCCCAATGGATATTACATTTACTTTCCTTTTACAAAATACGCAAGGCTTCCCAAAACACCCTTTCTGTGTTAACAAATCGGGGCTCAAGATAGGGTCAGTAACTATTGGTTACTCACCCATGAGTAACTAAATTTGGACCTTTGGATTAAATGGGCTTAGAAAATCCAGATCTAAGTGTTGTGAATTAAAAACATTTTATTTTTCCTAGTTTTCTTAATCGACTCTTATCTTCTTCGTTCTACTCGGATTTCAATTGTTTTTGCACATATGGAACGAGTTCGTTGTGCTCTACATAATGAGATCAATTTTCAATATTTTTTGAGAAAAAAATGTTTTCATACCTCTCGTTACCAACTTCATACCATATGTTATCTACTTCGTTTTAAGTCGTTTTTTAAAATATTTGAACAGAAGGGACGAGTTCATCATGATCTATTGGATCTACAAATTTCTGGGTGAAAACAAATACATGACAAAAATGACCATACAATACCCCCTTGGTATGGGGGTGGTAACTTGTAGTACACAATGATGAAAGTTGTAAATGACAATTAGTATACTCCTATTATCATTTATTCAGCCATCCTACAGTCTTGGTATGTTCATACAACCATTGTACGCTTTCATACCAAATGGTATACTCTTATTTAATACCAATCAATACCATATGATATAGACTGGTAAAAAATGACTCAATTTTATTTGTTCCAAAAATATATCAAAATAGATATAATTTTGAAGATCACAATTGATCAGATTTATCTGTGCAAAAAAATTTAAATTATGACTTAAAAAGATAGAGAAATTGCACGTTAAAATTAAAGAAGAAAATATTTAAGCTTACCATGAGAGAGATGATGTTAATGTTACAATAATGTGGACATGTTACTTATAGTTACTGAACCTACCATTACTAAACCGATCTACTCCAGAGCCAATATTGGAAATTTGGTCTAAAACTAGGAAAAAATCCAAAACTACCACTATAAAAAAAAATTTACAAAAAATACCACACATACCCAACAATTTCCAAAAATAACACCCTTTATTTAAAACCGCCCCTCTAAGTGGCGGTTATCAAACAAAACGCACCTCCAAGGCGCGGTTAGAGAGGAAAACGTGCCTCCAAGGCGCAGTTTGACTCTACCTGGCTGTCAAACCGCGCGCCAGCTGGGTGATCCGCGTCGATCAGCTAAACCGCTCCTCCGAAGCGCGGTTGACTGTTGGGGAAACGCAAACCGCGCCTCGGAGGAGCGGTTTGACTGTTCGGAAAACGCTAACCGCGCATTTGAGGGGCGGTTTTACGCGGGCTAAAAGGACGAAACCGCCCCTCCTTCACGCGTTTTCGTCACTATAAACCCCCCCCCCCCCTTCCCAATTCTGCACACCAACACACATTCCCCCCTCTCTCCCTCTAACTCCCCACTCTACCCACCCCCCTCCCCACCCAATAACCTTAGAATTAGTTATTTTGTTGGTTGCGGCTAAGTCCGATCTGCCTTCAAATAACTTTTTCTTTGGTTTTCACTAAAAAACCGTCGAATCTCTATCCGGATTTCGAAAAAATGGCCGATTTCTTCCAAGAAGAGGGCATTTTTTATGATGATTATCAAGCGGTACGTACTCATTTTACCCAATTGTTGTTGTTGTTATAATGATTTATTTAATTTATATACTAATTGATTTACGTTGTTGTTATGCTATCGTAGGTTGGGCCGGATGTTGATATTTACAATCAACGATATTATGTTGATCAAGGACCAATTGATCCGACTGTGTTATATGATCAAGCTAATCATCGTTCAAGAGACGTTTGGAACGACCTTGACTTAATTAATATTACATCTTATTATATATTTATATATGTATAAATCATCAACTTATAGTGAAATTTAAATTCTTCTCTAGGATGCATACCATATAGTCCGCTATAGGAGCACGACGAATGTGCTTGAATGGAACGACGTCATCTTGCCTTCGACGGCCTCGGTGTAAACGAACATCTCCGCTTGCTTAATTTTATTGGTGGTCAAAAATTGGACCATGGCATCAACGTCCTCTTGAGTGGTAAGGAGGAATTCCTCATTCCACAGCGACCGGTCATGTCTGTTTGGATATCGATACACCATTTGATCAACTCTTCTAGTGCCATCCATGCAGGTAATCTGAGTGCACATTTGATGGAGCTCTTCAAGCGTCGGTCTCGTACGGACATTCATTTTATAAAAATTGCCACCGACGTAACTTACACCCTTTTCGGTCTCTTCCGTGTAACCATTCCACCGCAACCCAAGCGTGAACCTTTGGAATGCCATCTGCAATAAAACTGTAATTAAGTTACTAACATAAAATCACAAAGGACAATGAAAAGTAATACAAGAGCGACATGATAATGAAAAGTAATTAAGTTACTAACATAAAATCAAAAAGGACAATGAAAAGTAAATAAGTTACTAACATAAAATCCAAAAGGACAATGAAAAGTAATTAAGTTACTAACATAAAATCACAAAGGACAATAAAAAGTAATTAAGTTACTAACATAAAATCACAAAGGACAATGAAAAGTAATACAAAACAAACTTACGAATTAACGTTAATCGCAAAAACTAAATAATTTAAAGGTTCAAAACTGAAATTTGAAGAAGGAAGAGGAGGAGTGTGAAGAATTTGAGTTCTCTGAATCAGCCTTTTATAGGCGAATTTTGGACCACAAACCGCGGGTGGGGGGAGCGGTTTTAGGTCTGCCATGCAGCCCCGCCCCCTGCGTGCCGACATGTCTGCTGTCGGGTGACCAGACACAAACCGCGCCTTGGGGCAGCGGTTTATGTCTGCTGTCGACAACAAATCGCTCCTTTAGGCATCGGTTTGTGTGTGGACAAGGTAAACCGCGCCCTGGAGGGGCGGTTTATCATGCCGACACTAAAATGCTTCCTCTTCAAGCGTTTTGTGGTAGGGTTTGCATATAAACCGCTCCTTAGAGGAGCGGTTTTATCTGAAAAATGAAAACGCTGGCTGACGAGGCGGTTATAGTGTATTCCGTTGCCAGAAGGAGCGATTTTAAATAAATGGTTGTGTTTTTGGAAATTGTTGGGAATGATTGGTATTTTTGTAATTTTTTTTTTAAACAATGGTAGTTTTGAATTTTCCCCCTAAAACTGAGACTCAGCCATCACATTTGGGTTAGGGTTGTACTGAACCCACTGACTAAACCACAATAACCATCCGTTATTGGCTTATTGCTTACTGGAGCCGGTTGAACCTATTCAGTTATTCATTTGCCCTCTTTTAACCTCTAGCAGGCTAGCGAGCTCCCCTTCAATTTTAGTCCTCCTTGGTCCTTCCAAAAAATCTCCGGGAGCTTATGTTGGCAGCAGAGCAGCCAGTTTGGTTCCGTCGCTCCAATCCCAATCCGTTCCATTCATCTATACTCTGTAACTGTAATTGCTGATATTTTCATTGCTCGATTCAGTAATGGCGATATCTCTCGCAAGCCAAGCACTATCGTCCTCTGCTCTTTCCTTCAACAACAAAACCCTAAACTCCTGCGCTAAACCCAATCCTCCCCTCTTCTATCCGCAAAACAGACCTCTCAAGGGATGGTGCTCTGCTTTCATTTCTCCCCTACGGCCGTTACGCAGCAGCAGCAGCAAGAGAAACTACTTCCACATCCATGGTTCCGGTTCCTTCCTTGCTCGCTGCGCAGTCCACGAAGCCGCTTCTGCCGATATGCTTGTGCGTATTCTTTGCAGCTCTCCTCACATTTAGTGTTCGAATGTGAAATTCGGTTGTAGGTGTTTTTGGATTTTTCCAATTGGAAAATCAATTTCGATTTCTTATCCAATTTCCCGTTTCGGTAATGCTTCAGTTGGTAATAACCGTAATTCCTTGGTACTCTAAGTTAGCTGCTTGGTTGAGTATTTTTGAATTGGATAGCTTGCGAGAATTTGAATCCCCAAGTGTGAATTCAAAGAGTGAATATCCTTATATGTGTGTTCTATAACTTGGACTCTGGAATTCAGGAGTATGAATATCCTTGTATGTAATTTAAGCTGAACCTGGAGGTTGGTGCTTTCAACCTTGTAGGATAAGCCGTACTTCTACAAAGTGTAGCTACGCAAATGATTTTGCAATAAAGATTTGTAATTTCCATCATTTCAGTTCCCTGTAATTAGATTAAACTGCTTTTTATGCGTTCTGGTGCTTAACCGATTCGTAATCCAGATGCAACCCTGCACCCTCCCTAATGTGTTGCAACACAAATTGCTTTCGTTCTGCTAGTGCTGGACTTGATGTTTCTCTCTTTGAGTTCCATAAACTGCAGTTAAAAGATGAAACATCAATGCAAAATCATTTTGTCTGATGACTTTTTTGTTGGATTATATGTTCTTAGACAAATGAGGAAGATCGTGCTCTACAGAATGATGTAAAAGATACAGAGGACGATGTGGAGGAAACGAAGGAGGAATCAGAATCCATTCCACAGAACGAATCTGATTTGAAGAATGTTTTTGCAAGTTATCGGGAAGCTATCCTTTCTGGCGACCAGGAGACTGCTACTGCAATTGAGGCTGAGTTAAATGCCAGTGAAAGCACGAAAAATGAGCTAGTACTAAAGGTGTCGGCTTTGTCCGTGGAGATAACTTCTGGCAGGGACAGATACATCCGCCTGCAGGCAGATTTTGATAATTTCAGGAAAAGATCAGAGAACGAGAGACTGAACATCAGGAGTGATGCCCAAGGAGCAGTGATCGAGAGCCTTCTGCCCATGGTTGACAGTTTTGAGAGAGCCAAACAACAAATCAAACCAGAAACCGACAAGGAGAAGAAAATAGATACAAGTTATCAAGGCATATACAAACAATTCTTGGAGATCATGAAAAGCATGCAGGTGACTGCTGTACCAACAGTTGGACATCCTTTTGATCCTTCGGTAAGCCAACTTTCCTTGAGTTGTGTTTTACCGGTTATTGATTGTGTGTTTAGTAATGATGGTGTGATTACTCTCCTCATCTAATCTCGCTTTGCCTACATCTATCTTGATATTCTTGAGAAAGTATACGTACTGGTTTTGAAGAACTGGGAATAAAGACAAGTACTTAGGCTGGGGATTTCTTATGTTTGAGTCATAGTATTGAGTTAATTTTGAGGGGTTAAGTGATTGAACATCCTCCTCCATTATGTATATATAGGTTAGTAAGTGGATTTTGTTCCAATTTTTCGGCTATAGGTACATGAAGCGATTGCAAGGGAAGAATCTCAAGAGTATGAGGATGGGATTGTTTTACAAGAATTCCGGCCTGGATTTCTGGTTGGAGAGCGGCTAATAAGACCAGCTATGGTTAAAGTTTCTGCAGGGCCAGGGCCTGGGCCTAAAACTGAGGAAGCTCCTGCAACTGTTGAAGACCATGCTGAGCAGGAAGCTGCCGCAGAAGGATAAGCTGTGTTAGCGAGCATACCTCTTTTTTTCTGGAATTATTTTACAGAGAGGTTCAACCACGGCCTGTGATTGCTTGTGGTATAAAAAACTCCAGTTTCAGCGTACTATCTTTTTTTTCGTTTTTGTCTAACTATGGGTAAAAATGATTGGTCTTCACTCTTCAGTGTAGTTACGACAACAGGGGCAAGCAGAGGCCACCAAGAGTTAAGATGATCGTTTCTTTGACACACTATGTGGTGGTCGATGAGCTATTTGATTTGAAATGATGTTTTCTACATTGTCCATTACAACACCCGAAACCCGAACTATGCCACTTGTGTTCTATTCTTTTCAATATTTCATTTATGTCCTGAACTATTATTCGATTAATGTTGATCGGCGTTGACTGTTAGTATTTACAGAACATCCAGTCAGCGGTGACGTGACGTCTGACTTGTTATTTTTAAATAATTAAATAACAATTAAAAAAGGCAGCGATTACGATTTAATGGATAAGGAAGATGATTTGATATATGATAATTATGTTAATGAAGAAGCAGAAGCTCTAAATGGATTTGATTTTCAAATGGAAGTGGAAGATGCTTCTGATCGTGAGAAGGTAATTAAGATTAATAATTATCAATAAATTAGATGTTATCCCTCTTGTTTGATGTCTTTTGTTCTTTATAATATTTGAATTTACAATCACTTGCAGGGGCTAATTACAGCTTTAAATGATGAGTTGTTCGACGTGGCGCATCGATTTTGTGTACGCCACATGTATACAAACTTTCGAAAAGATGTTTCCAATAACTTGTTATTTAAAGACTTGCTCTGGAAGGCGGCACGAGCTACTACTACAAGAGACATTTTATTTCCGAACTAGAAGGATTTTTTGGATAGATTTGAACGCTTGGATACTGTCTCCGCTGAACGTTGAGTTGAAGTCGCGACTTCTATTTCAAGTGACAGATTTTACTTATAATTTCAAGAACATGTGACTACATAGGGTCCTTTTATTTATATATATATATATACCGCATACCTTGAGTATGAAAACGCTATCTAAACCTCGAATTAGCAGAATTTTTGGGCATGATACTATACCCTAACCCTTAATGAGTGAACCCTAGGCCCTAATTATCTAAATCATAATCTATAAACCCTAAGATGGTGCATTCCTTTTTGTGCCTATATTTGGACGAATCATAACCGTCGATTATTGTTTCCAAATAAATTGATCTTGGAGTAAAAGATTGGGCGAATTAAGACCTAGATTTTGATCTTTAAGGGTTAGAGTATAGTATTATGTCCGAAAAATCGGTCAATTCAAGGTCTAGATAATGTTTTCATACTCAAGGTATGCGATACCCCGAATTTTACCCAGGGTACCGTAGAACTCGCCATATATATATATATATATATATATATATATATATATATATATATATATTTTACTCTAGTGGATTAAAGAAAAGAATATGCTCTACTAAATAGGTCCCTTTCATTTTAGAATAGCGGAATGCAGAGAGCAACCATACTAGGTGAAAACATAATAATATTATGAATTTAAATAATTTTCCTCAAAGATGATGTAGCTCAATTGGTTGAAATGTTACTCCCCTTTCGGAGGCTTTCTCGTCTCCAATGATCGCTGGTTTGACACCTGCTACCACCAATTATTCATACTCTTTATCTTAGATTAAATGTGGCAGTGACATGGCAGATTAAATGAGTTGTTTGACAGCTTGGAGGAATCTGACGTTGCCATGTCAGCAATGTTAGTGCTTTGTCAGCACCGTTAAGATGGCATCTGTGAAGTTGAAACAAAAGTGATGAATGGTGACCTTTTAAATCAAGTTTAGTGGTTTAGTTGAATTACGAGTTCGGTGGTGCACCATTAAGATGACATCTGTGAACTTGGAACGAAAGTGATGAATGGTGACTTTTAAATTAAGTTCAGTGGTTTAGTTGAATTAAAAACGAGTTCGGTGGTAGACTTGAATTAATAGCACAAGTAGAGTGACTAGTGATACTTTTCACACGACTCAAGCATCTCATGCCAGGGAATGTCGATGCAAACCAATCCAGGTGTAACATAGGGTAAGCAAGTAATAAAAATTTATCGAACCACGTGGGTCTAGGCTTACCTTATTCGGGTTAGGTTTCGTTATCAAGCCAACCTAACATAGTGATTAGGAAATTTAAACTAACTAACCTAGCTAATTATAAGGGATGGAGTTCTCTTAGGTTGAATCCCCGTAGTTCTTTCCTTTGCAACGATGTTGAGTACTAGTACAACTTAATCGATTCACTACCCTACCGTGAGGAGATAGACTCACTCGGGAATGACCCTGAACAACGAATCGATGGATGGGTAGATGCTCTATTCAACCTAGGGTTTCATATATTGTTAGGAGACCGATTGAATCAACTCCCTCGGGAATTACCCAGACAAAATAGATAGGAGTGACCCGAAGACACCATAATGGGCTCTAAGGGGATTATCTCCCTCCTAGGTGAAAAACTTAATTGACATGCTATGGAAACCCAACTTATGCATTCATTAAAACATCCATCAATTAAGTAAAACATCCATCAAACATGGAATTTTTCACATACATCAACATAAAAACAAAACCTAGACCCTAGGGTTCTTAAACCTAAGAGAAGAGGGTTAGTTTCTAGAGAGAGAAGATAGAAATTACAAATTGGAGCACAAGTTCTTCTTCTTCTAGGCTTGATTCCTTGCTTCCAGCTTGATCAATGCCTTCAATTAATCTCCAAGATCTCTCAAGAAATCTCTCTCTCTCTCTCTCACTAGAACTCGCCTTTGGTGTTTTGGGTCGAAACCCTAGAGAGAGAACCAAGTTCTCCTCCAAAAACCAGTTCCCCTTTCTCTCTCCCAGCTGCTATCTTTATATTTGCCCAACGGTGTTGACATTACGGTCACTGTTCACGGCCATGATTGTAGCAAGCATAGGGTGATCACGACAAAAACGGAGCATTTTGGGCCATTTTCACGGTCACATGGTGATTTTCATGGTCTCGGGATCGTGATAACTTTTAGGCCAGCCAGACGCATAATGGCTGCTGGAATTTGACAACTTCACGGTCTGGGGGTGATTATCATGGTCTCGGGACCGTGATAAATGAGTGATGCCCTTGAGGTCTTGCACTTCACTCCCTAGGGGAGATTTTCACTACATCAGGGCATGACATTTGCTTCCTGCCGTGAACATTGCTCACCCTCCACTTTTTTCTTAGGACACAAAACAAATGAATCACAATGATATTTGACACCGACCTATGGACAAAAACAAAGTGATCTTGGCAATAGGGGTGGGCATGCGGTTCGGTGAAATCGAACCAAACAAAAATTGACCGAAACCAAATTTACCCTTATTAGGTTTGGAATTCGGACTGAAATAGACCATATTTCGGGAGACAACTTCTTTTGAACCAAACCGAACAACCAAAAAACCGACCAAAAAACCGACCACTCCCACTCCCACCCTCGGGCCCAAGTTCCCTACCCAGCCCAATTATTCAACCGTCAGGCCATTCTTTGATAGCCCAATGCCAGCCAAACCCAACTCCTTTCTTCCACTTACTCACCCTAATCTCGACATCTCTTTCTCCTCCATCGCCGCCGCTTCCTCCAAACTGATGATGGCGTGGGTCAAATTGTTGTGCGACATGTTGTTGCTGCTGTTGCTGCATGGCCGCCCGTGAGGACTGCACCAGAGGATCAAAGAGCGACGACAGGTCGTATCTGGCAGGGATTGAAGCGGTCGGGAATATATCAGCGATTGTTAGAGTCGACGGTGCGAGGAGTGCGGCCGGCGGCGGCGGAGGCGGGACCTCTACCGTTCCCATATGGGCTTGCAAGTAGGACAGCTCCGCTTGCAGATTCAAAACCTACATGTATTCATTTTGCAACTGAGCGTCAACGTCAGAGGAGCTCTTTTACGGTTATGACCAGAAAACCAAACCGAACCGAATTGTATTTCGGAACGCCCAAACCAAAACGAAATACAATTCGGTTCGAATTCGGTTGGCACAATAGAGACTTCAGAATAATGATAGGTTTCTTTTTGGTTCGGTTCAAACCGAACCGACAGAACGCCCACCCCTACTTGGCAACCACCACAAACGACATTTAACTGTATTAAGATTTTGTAAATGAAGAGTTCTCACATTATTCATCAACCAACACATAACCTGTTTCGACGACTCACCAATCACAGTCACTCATGCATGAAGATCACATCATAGGAACAAACGATCGAGCCACCTAGGTCCTCACCGGGTATAGGATACAAACTAAACATAATGAATGAATCACTCACTCTCGACCAGTGGGGTCGGGACTTAGGTCACATGATTCGCCATCTCCACCCCCAAGCTCCCGCGCTAGAGCGGCGAAACGCGGATTTCAAAGGAAACGCAAAAAAATCGCGAATTTTATTTCTATAGAGCGCGGATTTAGTTTTTAAGTTCGCGATTTTTTTATGGATGACTCAGGTAGAGTAGATGGTGCTCTTACTTTCTCCATGAGCGCACGACCCACGGGTACGGGGTACCCAATACCCATGTGGGGTTTGTCCACCGTCGGCGATGACTGGTTTTTGAAGGGAGATGGGTACGGCAAGTTGATGCTGAAACACTGGTTCTCAGCCGATAATTTGTTGACTTGGTCAGAGTCGATGTAGATCGGAGGGTTTAGGATTGAGATTGGGATGATGTGTTCTGGTTGTTAATGGCGGCGGCACTGGTTTTGGGATAATAGTTTCCTGGAAGATTAGGCTATAGTCCGAATTCACAAATGGCAGCTTGTTGCCGATGATCCGTTTGAGACTTGTGGTGGACGGCGATGGGATCCGTTTGACGGTTTGAGCAAGGTTGGGGGCTGAAAGATTTTCCACGGAGGAGATGGAAAGGAGGGATAAGGCTACGAAATTTTTGTGGCTGTCGAATGAATTTTGTTTTGTTAGTTTTTAATTTTTTATGTTTTTAAAAAAATAGAAAATAATAAGGTTAAAAATTGTAAGTTTAAAGTAAACTAATAAATTTCAATAAGTCACGGCAAAACAATTGATTCCTTGCCAAAATAAATTTGCCTTTATATATATATATATATATATATATATATATATATATATTGTCAAAGAATCTGCCTTTATATCTTTGATAATGAATGATTTTATTATAGATTATTATAAATTATATATAGATAATATAATATTAACGCTTTTTATGCGCTCTCTAAATTAAGTTCTTGAAAAACTGACGCTCTCACGCTCTCGCTCCCGCTCTCGCTCCCGTTCCCGCTCCACGAATTGGTAAGCTAAGTCGGGACCATTTGATGCAAAATATGTGCATACTCACGCTCAATCCTAACGTCCCTTTACCATTACAGTAGCCTCTAAATGCTAGAGCTCACAAGA